TAGAAAGCCGGCGCGCTTCTGCCCTGGTCGACCCCCCTTCCTCGGCACCTGCCAGCCCAGGTGCTCTTCAGGGTGACTTCCTCCCGACAGGCTTAGGTGTCACCTGGTGAGGAGGAGCGCTGAGTTTACCTGGAGCAGTGGGACCTGTTGAACTGCTCCCCCCACCTCACTTTCCCACTCCATGGCCTTGGAAGCCTTGGGAGCGGAGGGGAGCGTTTCCCAGGAGGGGAGCGTTTCCCAGCAGCGGAGCGCCCCAGGCAGGATACCCCAGTTAGTGCCCCGCTGCAGTGCAGTGGTGGGACAGCAGTGGTGTGTCCAGGGCTTGCTCTGGGAGCCCCGAAAGTCACAGGGGTGTCAGGGAGGATTCGCCAGGCCCCGAAGAGGGTGTTGGAGTTCGGCCTGGGTGGGGGCAGGATGGGAGAAGGGCCCTGCACCCACAGGACCTGTGAAGGAGGGTGCTGGGGGTGGTGGGAGTGAAGCGGGAAGGGGAGGGGCCAGTTGGCAGCGGGCCTGGCTCGAGTGGGGGGTGAGGGATTGGAGAGAAAGGCAGTTCCTGATGGTCTCCTCCCCAGGGGCTGGCTTTCCTCTGGTCCTTCCCTCCCAATGACCGCGTCTTCACTCTTCACTGAGGCCGCAGCCCTGGGTTCCGCGCCCACACTTCTTGCAGCAAGCTGCCCGGAGACCTCTCGGCAGCCTTCCTCTGACCACGGAGCCCTTCTTGCCACCACCTTCTGGAGGGCTTGTCTGCCACCCACCTGGGCCAGCTAGGGTGGCAGGGTGCTGCAGCCGAGTTGGGGGGCTCTGCATCTGGCCTGTGAGCAGCGGTGGCCGGCGACCTCACCCAGTGCCAGTCATGCAGCCTGGGCTGGGCGTGGGGGGGATGGCAGGCATGCTGGCCTCCTTTGACGGCCCAGAGTAGTGTGTTCCTGGTGAGGCAGCCCTCTGTCCTGGAGGGGCTGGGGTAGGTGGGATCTCAGCAGGACTTCTCCCATTGACCTCGGCCAGCCTGGTTGCCACAGATGACACATTGCCTGGAGCATCCTTGTGTCTGGGAGAGACCAGCCCCCTCAGGGTGGGGGACCTGTGTCTTCTGTGCTGGACTCCGGTCACGTGGCAGGTGCTGGGAGCCCCGCCAGCTACACGGGACGGGTGGGATGACCCGGCCCTGTGATGCCCAGGGTGCTTCCCATCACCCTGCACTGCGTTCTGGGTGGTTCTCATTCTCTGTGCCTAATCTGCTCCAACATTGCCTGCCAAGTTTTAAGTCGTACTTCCTGGGGCTTCTGTTTCTAAAGGGTCTTTCTGGTGCTGGGTGGACCCCCCGTTTACTCTTTATCATGTCCTTTCCCTGCAGATATTCCTGAGCTCCTTTCTCCTGCACTCAGTGGCTGGTTTTTGGGACGTGTGGGGACTACTGCTGGTTCTTGCTGTGGTGCTTTGTTTTATGTGGTTCTTTCTATTGTACTGCTTTTTGTTCTTGAAATTATTTGTGAGACTTCTCGGAAGTCTGTGATGAAGAGGAAAACTTTGGTTTGCCTGGTGCCCAGGGGCACTGCCAGTGCAAGCACCCATCAGACCAAGTCCCTGGACCCCCGGTGTGGCCTAGCTCTGCACATGGAGCTTCTCATGGACCACCCCCACTTCTGTGCGCCTCCCCTGCGGTCCTGGTGTGGCTGTGGATACAACCCCCCCACCCTAGGTCCCTGTCCTGGGGCGGCTCTGGGCCGTGTCTTCTGTCTCCCTCACCCCTGAGGCCACCAGAGCCCGGTTTGCCCCATGGGCCAGTGCCCTGAGGCAGAAGCCGCTGCTGTACTCTGCTCTCTTTCCTCTCTGGGTTCCTGTGTTCTCTGAGATGTTGGCTAAATCCTGCACCACCTTGTCAGCTCTTGGTTGCTTTTAATATTTTTCACCTTCTTTCAAGCGTTTGGAGTTGCTTTTACCAGGGAGGTTGCTCCCAACAGTCTGCCTACTAGTATTGGGATCATCAGGCACTCCTGGGATGATGGCCACCAGTGGACACTACCAGGCCGCCCTGGCGGGAACCCAGCCTGTTCCCATCACCTTGGGGAACCCTTCTGCACAGGGCCCTTCGGCATCAGCACTGCATGTGGCCCAGCGTCCCTGGTGGGGGGGCAGCGGCTGGCAGCCCATCTCACATGGTGCATGTCCCCTAGCGCCCCGGGCTGCTGGAGATGGTGCTTGTCACCGCGGCAGCGCCTCAGCTGCACAGCCACAAAAATTGGTCCTCTGAGGCTGTCACCACATCTGTGCCTGGAGGAACACAGGGCTGAATCCTGGGGGTCCCTCCAGGGCCCGTGGGGGCTGACAGGGAAAATAGTGGGGTGAACCCTGACCCTGCCACCCGCGCCAGCCAGACCAGTGAGCATGAGTGAGAGGAGGGTGGGATGCCCGAAGGCCTTGTGCGCTGGGCAGCTACTGCATGGCTCTGAGCCACGGTTGTGTCTGTGGTGCTGGCCTTGGGCTCCGGCCCCTCCTCGGCTTCTCTTTGCATGGTGGCCAGAGCCACCACGCCCGCCCACCCACCATGCGATGCTGGCATGGCTTTGAAGCCGGGGTCAGTGTGGTGGGAACATCCTCCTGTGAATCCCAAGGTGGGAAGTGTTCCATTTCAGACCCCAGAACCAGAAGCAATTGCCAACAATCCAGGACCAACGAGGTCACAGGCGTCAGGGGAATGTCTGACCAGTGCCCAGGAGCGTGTTTACAGGGATGGGCGAGTGTCAGGGCAGCCGACACGCGGTCTCCTCGTCCAGCGAGGGTCTGGGTGTTGTGAGCCTGTTCCATTTGGGCAAGGGAGCTTTGCAGGTTTGGGAGGCAATTCTGTCGTCTGCCATTTACTCAACTAATTTTTCCTTCTCCCGCAGACCTTGTTACCCCGTGTGAGCCAAGCCACCCCTTGGGGACCCATGTGCATCATCTTCTTTAAGTTCGATCCTCGCCCCGTTTCCAAAAATGCGTACAGGTAACCCCCTCGTGCTGCGTCTGCTATCCTGCTCGGCCTTGGGAACACGCCATCCTCAGTGCCTGTTTGGGCTCCATGTGCGGGGTCGGGGGCAGAGGCCAGGCCCTGGGACATACTGCCCGGGCCCTGCCCTGCCCTCTCCCACAGTGGCCACTCAGTGTGGGCAGGGACCCTGAGTCGATGTGCAGAGATGCTAAGACTGAGCCGCTGAAGGTGGCCATGTGGGCAGGATGGGGGAATGACGTGGGTACAGCACAGCCCTGCACCTCTGACTGGGGATCAGGTGGCAACAGAACAGTGGCAGGGAGCGAGACCTGGCTTGTGGGGCTGGAGCCTGTGGCCAGTGAGCAGTCTGGGTGGTGAGGGCAGAGTGCAGGGGGTGGGTCAGGGAAGCTGGGGGACCAGCTGGAGGAGGCAGGAGGCTGAGGCCAGGGAGGGGCCACACGGTCTGGTTTCCTCTCCTCCCCATGACCCCTGGCTCTGGACGGCGCCCCTCCATTCCCCGGCACCCTGGTGGGAATCCACCGACATTTATCCACATGGAGAATGAGGCTGGGATGTGACCCTCAATCACAGATGAGCCACTAGTGCGACTGCTTAAGAAGTTTACATCATCTCAAGATCTGGAACATTTCAACTGGCTTCTGGGATTCCGTGCTACCTGATGTGTGGCTGAAGTAACTCATTCCGGGCTGGGGAATGGGGAGAAAGGGGTGCCCAGTGTCCCCTTCCTGCAGGGGAGTGGGCAGCAGGGCCATGCTGGGGGCCGGGAGTTGGCCCTGAACAGCCCCTGACAGAGCATGCCGTGTGAGTCGGGGTACAGCCAGGGGACAGAACCCCGGAGCAGTGATTCAAGCAGGGAATGTCTAACTCGTGGAAATATAAACTGTTGTGAGATCGGGGTGCCCGAGGCAGAGCCTGTCCTTCATCCTTGGGCTGAGACCCAGACCTTGTTGGGGGCACAGCCGTGGCATACCGGGCGGCCGGGAGCTCTCTGGGCACTTGCTGGAAGTCTGCCCGCTCTGCTCACGCTGGCTGCTGTCGGGCGTTTGTTGCTGGGGAAACCGCACCCAGAGCCTGGGAGAGAAGCCTCTCCCCCTGCAGCGTCCCTCCAGCGCCCTCTGCTGACAGAACTGGACCTGCAGCCACTGCAGAGCCCCCAGGAAGGGCGGGAGTGGGACTGAGGCAACAGGTGGATGGATCACTGGCGCTGTCGCCTCCTGTGCTGAGAGTGGCACTCCTTCCTCCTGACAAGTGAGGACACGCAGCCTGATGGCCACCGAGTCCATGGCTGCCTTGGTTCTTACTCACGGATTCAGCCAAGCCCTGAGGTCACCCCTGTTCTCCTGGGAGGGAGAAAGAACAGAAGGGACGGGGAGGGGAGCCTGCGTCCTGCCACGACCTGCCTCTGACAGCTCCAGGGCTGGGACTCGGTCTCAGCATTGATCTCAAATGTTGTCCTAGCCTGATGGCGCTGGAGGTTGAGAGGGACTTCTGGCTCCGGGGTGGGCAGCTCTCACGTGTGATGTGGGACTAGGATGGGAGGAGTCGGGGTGGGGCTGCTGTGGGAGGGACACTGCAGCAGGGCCGTGAGGAGAGCCTGGTGAGCTGACCCTGGGCCCATCGGAGACCAAGGAGGGGCCCCCAGCTCCTGGAGTGGGGGAGGGGGCAGGCTCAGAGCCGGGAGGCCTGGATGTCCTCACCTGGGCTCCCTCCCACCTAAGCTGTCACTGCCCTGGCTGGCAATGCAGCAGCTTCTACCCCCACCCCAGTGCCCATCACTGAGTTCACTGCCGGCCCCCCACCCAGTGATGTCAGGAGAAGATTTGTACTTTGTGTGTGTTTGTGGTTAAGTATACATGACATAAATTTACCTTTTTTTTTTTTGCCGTACGCGGGCCTCTCACTGCTGTGGCCTCTCCCGTTGCGGAGCACAGGCTCCGGACGTGCAGGCTCAGCGGCCATGGCTCACTGGCCAGGGCCCAGCTGCTCCGCGGCACATGGGATCTTCCTGGACTGGGGCACGAACCCGTGTCCGCTGCATCGGCTGGCAGACTCTCAACCACTGCGCCACCAGGGAAGCCCAAATTTACCATTTTTAATCGCAGGGCTCAGCGGCATTAAGCATTCACACTGTCATGTAACCGTCACCAGAACTTCCTCATCTTCCCAAACTGACACTCTGTCCTCAACAAACACTGACTCCCATCCCCCTCCCCAGCCCCTGGCACCCACCCTCCTTCTTTTTGTCTCTATGACCTTGGCTCTTCTAAGTCCCTCATGGAAGTAGCATCATATGTTTTCTTTTTGTGTCTGGCTTTTTTTCACTCAACATAATGTCCTCAAGGTTCATCCACATTGTAACATGTGTCAGGATTTCCTTCCTTTTTAAGGCTGAATAATGTTCCTTTGTGTGGATGGACTACGTTTTGCGTCGGCATCCATCCTGTCAGCGGACACCTGTACTGTTCCCGCTTCTCGGCTGCTGTGGACATTAGTGTACAAGTACCTGTCCCAGCCCTCCTTTCAGTCCTTTTGGGTATATACCCAGAATCAGAAAATCCTGGATCACACGGAACCGCCAAGTTGATTTCCTCGTGTGTCTTCTGATGGCTGTGCCAGAGGCTCCCTGCAGCGTTGGTCCGTGTCCTCATGTTGGGTGGTGGAGTGGGTCTTTGTGGCGCTTCGTCGTCATGCATCATTGAGACTAGGTCCTCTCCCCACAGCCGGAAAGGCCCAGACCCAGGGCCGCCGTCCACTTGGACACCGCTGCCCACAAAGCCTGTCCGGGGCCTGGGACCCACACACTCCCCTGCTCCGGCACCTTCGACATCACACCTGTTTTCACCTGTGTTTGTGAGCTAAGGTCACCCGTGTCAGTAATGCTCCAGGGTCAGCTGATTGCAGAGGACTCTTCCATCTGGGTCTGTGGCCATCCCTGCCGTGTGTAAGCACTGATCTACACAGATCACCTCTGCCCTGAAGGACAGAGTGGGACATCCTCACTCTGATGCTGTGGGCGGTGCCGCTCCTGGCTTTGTCCTTTCCAGTCTCACGGGAACCTGTTTTCTGGCCTCCCTAGAATTAGTTCCTGAAAGATGAGGCCAGCCCTGCCAGCCCCACCGTGCCTGTGGGGTTCTTGAAGCCTCTCTCCCCTCCTTGGGCTGCAGCCAATTTAGAGCGTGTGTCCTGTGGGCTATTCAGCCAAGTGCCCTCGTGGGTGTGGGAAGGGAGGGGAGACAGCCCAGTGTGGCCGGGAGTACATGTGAACTGCCTCTGCAGAGCAGCTCCAGGCCTGATGTTGGGCTGGGCCGTGACTGTCATGGACCCCTCATCTGCACCCCACCCCCATGTCACCAGCCCACTGCCCTCCATATTGGGGCGCCCATCCCTCCAGACGTGGCAGCCCTCCCCCATCATATCCCACTGCCATGTCCCCCCAGACACTGCCCAGCATGATCCCCCAGGCGCCCTTGGGTTTGACCTGCCTTCCAGGCTGCATACCTGCCCACCCACAGGTGCTGCGCCCTCCTGGGGTCACCCCTGGGGGGTCCCGGCCTCTGCACCGCACCCCCCATCACGCCTGAGGTTGCCCAGCACTTGGAACCTCCATATTTTGCCGACACGATGAAAGTTCCAAATCAGGGGACCCCGAGTTCATGGGATGGGGATGTCCTGGGTGGGCCTGACCTCATCGGGGTGGCCTGCAGAGGGACCAGCCCCTCCTCAGGGAGTAAGCTGCTGCCCTTGGAGGGGCCCGTGGCCAGAGCTTGAGGGCAGCCTCCAGGAGGCGAGTGACCTCGGCGCACGGCAGGCGAGACCAGGGCCCCCAGTCACATGGCTTCAAGAAACTGACCCCTGCAACAGCGGAGACGCCGCCGACCAGCACCTGTGTCACCTCGGGGCTGAGCACCTGGCCGAGATGATGGGTGGGCGTTGCTTTAAGCTGCCGCATTTGTGTAGATGTTTGGCTGCATAGAAGACCAGCATACTCCCGTCAGTATGGTGCTGTCATGGCTGTCACGTCACCACCCTCTTTGTCAAAATGTCATTTAGACCCACAGGTTGATGCTTTTACTGGCTCCACCTGGAGGGACTGCTGGGTCAGCTGTTGCCCTTTGGGGTGGCTTCCATGGAGGTCGTCACTACTGGACACTTCACTGGACCCTGGCCTGTGTACCCGTCACTGCTGCCAAACTCCCCCCGGCGGTGTGCAGACCCCTCCCCTGACTGTGCCCAGACCCACCCCTCAAATGGTGACAGACCCTTTCCATGACTGTGCCCAGTGGGACTCGGAAGTGAGGAGTGAGGGGCTTCCTCTCGCTTGGAGCCTCCACGTGGTACCATCATGCCCACCAGCAGTTCGGCTAAACAGTGACTGATGAAAGCAACCCAGCGCTTCAGGCTCCTAGCGATTAGCAAACATCTCGCTTCTTGTCTACAAATGGGCAGTTGGAGTAAGAGGACAGAGGCACTGCTCTTTCGCTTTGTTCTTTTCCCTAAGTTTTCCTTTCTGGAGTCTTCACAAGAATGGGAACCAGAAGCCACGGCACCGGCCTGGTTCGGGCTCAGCCTCCCGTCCCCTGCAACTGCAGGGGTCAGGCGAGCGGGCAGGTGAGGGGCGCTGGGCACCTGAAGGAGGATGCTTGATCCTGGCACAGGAGCCACTGCACCCTCTGGGGGGCCCAGGCCCCGCAGCCAAGTCTCCCCATGCGGGGAGGGGGGGCATTGCGCTGTCCTTCTCCTGACTGCTGGTTAGCCAGCTTCTGCCAGGATGGGTCCCGGACTGGGTCCCAGGGGGACAGGGCAGACATGGCAAGGGACCATGGGGTCCAGGTCAGGGCCTGGCAGCTGGAGCTGCAGAGGATCCTTCTGTGAGCGGCTGCAGCTTGTGTCAGGGACAGTGAACCCCCCGCCCCCTGCACCTGAACCTGGCGCAGCCCTAGAGCCAGCTGTGTGGAGGGACAGCCAGGTCACAGGCTAGACAGGTATCCTGAGGGTGGTGAGGCTTCCAGGGTGGTCCCTGGCAGTGCCAGCGCCTGTGGCCGAGGTGACGTGGGAGGCAAAAGTGGGGGGTGACACGTGCACACAGGTGAGAGACTTCCAGGGCCCTGGGGTGCCAGCACTGGTTTTGCCTTCAACTTTGTGAGTGTCTTTGTTAATTCACATTTTACCACAAGCCGATATTCATGAAATCAATGAGTCGATGCAAACAGTACTTCTGAAGACTTCTGAGGATCTAACCCCTGACTCAGCGAACTTGGTTTCAGACCCACTGTGGCCCCAGGTGCCGTGCCCACCTGCGGTGCTTGGAGGGTCCTTCGGTGGCCACTCTTAGACCCCGGGGTCTTCGGGACCCTGTGGGGTGACCCTGCCCACTCAGTCGCCGTCTGTGTTCATAGTTATTTTAAATGGCAGAGCTGACCGAAAACTTCGTTTTCTTACCTCAAAACCAGGGCCCTGAAAACATCGATGTCTTTGCTAATTGCCAAAGAAATACTTGTTTGATTCATAATACAAAACACTAGTGAAACACAGAAAAGTCCTCACTCGCTCCCTCCCAAAGACACCCCAAAGCGCGGGATGGAGCAGCCCTTGGAGTCCCTGAGCGCTGGTGGGAGGCTTACAGGGTGTCCCTCAGGGGAGGGACCGAAAGGCAGGAAGACACGCCCGCCCAGCGCCCTGTTCCGGGTGGCGGAGCCAGCAGGGCTGAGCCGGCAGCCACCCATCTCCTCCTCCCAGTGGGTTCCCGTCCTCTCTGGGACTTGCCCAGGTTGCTGCCTACTAAGGTGCTTTGTCTTGGTAACGAGAGGAAACACGTGACTCTTCCACATTCACGCGAGACCCTCAGCCGTGCTCTCTCCTCAGGCTCATCCTGGCCGCCAACAGGGACGAGTTCTACCACCGGCCTTCCAGGGCTGCAGACTTCTGGGGGAACAACAACGAGGTCCTCAGCGGTGAGTGTCCCCGCTGTCCACCCAGCACTGTCCACTCAGCTTCACGTGCCCGGATCCCCGGGGGAAGCAGCTGGAAGGTGGGGGTTGTATTTGGATCCACCATCCGCTGCGGTTGGTCTCGTGTGAGGCATGATTTCAGACCGGTCACCTCGGAGCATCATGGTTATGCGTGCACGCGTGTGTGTGTACATGCATGTGTATGTGCATGTGATTCTGTTAGACACATGCACCCCTTGCCCCAGGGAGAGTGGCCTGAGTTTGGGGAGCAGAGGCCCGGCTGGCAGGGCTGGGGGAGCCGATGGGGAGCCCATGGGGTGGAGTGGAGGTGACCGCACCCTGCCTGCCCTGCCGGTGGCTTCCGCAGGCCCCTTGGAGGGAGCAGCTCCTATTCCTGCAGGCAGGGGCCACTCGGAGGACGTGCAGACAGGTGTCGGCCGGGCCAGGGACCCTCTGCCTGCGGAGCCTGGAAGCTCGTCTGGAGCATCCACGAAGGCCTCCAGTGTGGACTGGGGTCGGGCAGTGGTGCTGCGTGGGAGGAGGATGGGAGTGGGGAGACCAAAGTGGGGGTCTGAAAGGAGGTGGGGAGAGCTGTGAGCGGGGCCCTCAGGGTGGGAGTGCAGGAGGGTGGGAGTGCAGGAGGATGAGGCTGGGTCTCGGCCTCACCAGAAGCTGCTCAGGAGACCTTGGATACCTGCTTGCTCGGGAGTGCGGGGTGGGGCTGGCGGGGAGGCCCCTGCTGCCTGAGCTCTGGGCACAGTGGTCATGTGTGTGGGGACTTCAGCCAGGCTGGCCATGGCTCCCCCAGAGGTCCAGTGGCAGGCCTGCTGGGCCACGGGAGGGGGTCCTAGGGGAGCCTGTGGGCATGGCCAGGACCATCCTGGGCTAGGACGGAACAAAGGGATCGTGGGGAGAGGGCAGGCCGTGTGTGTCACTGCTGCAGGGCACGCATGGGAGGCTGAAGTGGGGGCTGCTCAGGACGGGTGAGGTGAAGGGTGAGGAGCTGATCCTTCGGGAGGGAGGCAGGAGGCACTGCTGGGGCACTTTGTCGATGAAGACATGGAGGCTCAGACGAAGGGTGAGCCTGCCTGGGCCCCTTGGCTGTCCTGGCCCCTGGGCTCCACGCTTCCTGCCCTGGTCAGTGCCCATCCCACTGGGGAGCCCCAGCCACTCAAGTCCTTCACCCTTTGCAGTGGTTTGGAGGTGGCCCCTGGCGCGTTGATACGCGTCCTGCCAAGCGGGAGGGTGGCCCTGCTGCACCGCAGTGCTGGGTGGGCCCGTGGCCACCACGCCTGGCTCAGGCCTGGGAGACCCCAAGGTCCACCCCCTCCCTCTGTCTGGTGTCGCCCAGCGTGCACAGAATTGTAGCAGCAGCGTCAGCATTGCTGGGGACTTGTTAGGCGTTCAGGAACCTCTGGGTTCTGTTTCTTCAAGTCCTCCGTCTCCTGCTGTCTCTCCTCAGCCCCCCCAGTCACACGTGTGTCAGTTTATCTGAAGTGATCAGTGCCCTTCAGTTATGCTTGGTTCACTTAAAAGCCCTCTGTTGTCCCTGCTCCTTTTTAGGTAGTTTCTATCGCCATATCCTTTACTCACGTTCACTAACCTTTTCTTCTTTAGTGTCTAACCTGCTTCTAATCCCATTCTGCATATTTTTCATCTCACACACTGTAGTTTTTATCTCCAGAAATTCCACCGTGGTATCTTCCTTGTCTGGACTGTGTTGTTTGGCCAGATGTGGAAGCTTCATTCACTTTCTAGTTGTTGGTTTGTCAGAGGCCTCTGTGCTCTGGATGTGGATCCTTTGCTGGATAATTGTGTCACTGTCTCATTTTCTTCATGATGTCCTTTGGTGAGCAGAATATTTTATTTTAATGAAGTGCTGTTTATCTTCTGTTTTGCGACTTGTTCTTTTTGTGTTTTACCCACAAAGTCTTTGCCTATCGTGAGGTCGTAAAGATATTTTCCTCTGTGTGCTTCTGGAAGCCTCCTGATTTGGGTTTATGCTTAGGTCTGTGATGTATCTCAAATTAAACTTTGCGTGCGGTGCAAAGCAGGGACTGAGCCACGCCCACCTCTCCGGCTGTCCCCACAGCACCAACCAGTGGGCCTCCTCTGGCCTGTGCATGACTACGACAAACTGGCTGAAAGTCAGTTGATCACATCCGTGTGGGGCCGTTGTGGACTCTTGTGTCCCACTGACATGGCTCGAGTGCTGCAGCCTCTGAGCAAGTCTGGGAACCAGCTGAGGTGAGCCCTGTGGCTTTGCTGCTTGTTGGGACTGCTGTGGACGTCCTGAACTTCAGGGCCAGCTTATGAATTTCTATAAACACCAGCCCACAGGGTCTTCACTGGGATCATGTCACCCTCTTGGTCATTTGGGGAGAACTGTCATCCTTTTTCTGTTTTGTTTTATTATTTTTTTATTGAAGTACAATTGATTTACAAGTTTGTCTTAATTTCTGCTGTTCAGCACAGTGATTCAGTTATACATACATATGTGTATATTCTTTTCCATTATGGTTCATTATAGGATATTGAATATAGTTCCCTGTGCTGTACGGTAGGACCTTGTTGTTTATCCATCCTATATGTAATAGTTTGTATCTGCTAATCCCAAACTCCCACTCCATCCCTCCCCTCCCCCCCCTTGGCATCCACAAGTCTGTTCTCTATGTCTATGAGTCTGTTTCATAGATATGTTCATTTGTGTCATATTTCAGATGACACATACAAGTGATATATTATATTTGTCTTTCTCTTTCTGACTTATTTTACTTAGTACAATAATTTCCATCCATGTTGCTGCAAATGACATTATTTTATTGTTTTTTTTATAGCTGAGTAATATTCCATTGTATATATGTACTACATCTTCTTTATCCATTCATCTGTCAGTGGACATTTAGGTTGTTTCTATGTCGTGGCCATTGTGAATAATGCTGCTATGAACATTGGGGTGCATATATCTTTTCGAATTAGTTTTCTCTGGGTATACGCCTAGGAGTGTGATTGCAGGATCATATGGTAGCTCTATTTTTAGTTTTTTCAGGAACCTCCATACTGTTCTTCACGGTGGCTTCACCAATTTACATTCCCACCAACAGTGTAGGAGGCTCGCTTTTCTCCATACTCTGGGAGAACTGTCCTCTTAACCATGTGAGCTTCCCGGGCAAGGAACAAGACTCCTCCTTTAACTAGGTCTGCCTGACGTCCATCCCTCAGCACACACGTCTTTCCTGTAACGTTTTCCTAAGTGTTTTGAAAATCTTTCAGTGCTGTTGTAAATGATTAATTGAATTTTCATTTTCCAGTTCTTGCCAAGTATTCACTTACTCCAGTAGGTTTTTTTTGTAGATCCTTTTGGATCTTCTTCACATACGATCCTATCTTGTACAAATAAGGACAGTTTTGCTTCTTTCAGATCTTTGCAGCTTTTAGTTCTTCTACTATTATAACTTATTACTGTTATAATAATAATATGTTAATGACTTAGCTATTTTCACTCCAGTTGTCAAGTGAAATGCCCCTCTGGCCTGGGAAGACACTCTCCTGGGGCTGTAGTGGCCTTGCTGGCCCTGCGGCGGGGCCCACGGTTATGGAGGGTTGCAGCCTGCGGGGCTCCTAGTGAAGGGCCCGCCGAGGGCTGGGTCCTGCCTAGGGAGGACAGCCAGTGTCCCTATACCTGATCGGGATGCGGGGCTGGGGCCTGGCGCGATTTCTGCGATGGAGCTGGTGCTGTGCCCCCAGCCTGATGCCCACCCAGGCACCAGGATGTGTTGTGCAGGGGCCGGGGGTTCCCAGGGGCATCAGGTGTTGTCCCGGGAGAGGGTCTCTCCCACATACGCATGGTCCCCAGGGGCTGCCTCAGACTGCGGTGTTCCAGCCCCCGTTTCACCACAAGGGCTGCTGGGCTGGTGGTGACACTGTTGTTGCCGCAGGGCTGGACATGGAGGAAGGCAAGGAAGGCGGCACGTGGCTGGGCATCAACACGCGGGGCAAGCTGGCGGCACTTACCAACTACCTGCAGCCACGGCTGGACCGGGACGCCCGGGGCCGAGGTACGGGGCGGGGGGCGGGGCTTCCTGGGCACCTGGAGGGATGGGAGGAGTGACGAAAGGAGGGGCCCTGAAGCCCCCTGGCTGGCAACGCCGGGAGCCACCCTCGGCCTGGCCATATGGCTCCCACTTGTGGCCATGGCATGGCTCCCGACTGCCGTGTTGTCACTGCCCATCTGGTGGACATATACTGTCCCCACTGAAGACGTTTCCCCTCGTGCTGGACTTCCACGTCGGGGCACAACAGGAAAAATTTTCAAAATCAGAGTTCTTGGTGCCGACCTCCTTGGCTGCCGGGTCGCTGAGGTGTGGCCGTCCCGTGGGGGACCGTCAGTCTCCCCAGGAGAGGGACTCAGTCCTACCGCCCCGGCCATGGGTGTGTGTCCCCTGATGCAGGTGAACTCGTGGCTCAGTTTCTGACCTCAGACATGGATAGCTTGTCCTACCTGAAGAAGGTCTCCGCAGAGGGCCACCTGTACAACGGCTTCAACCTCATAGCGGCCGACCTAAGGTGGGTCTACCGGCTGGGGACGCAGCCCCCAGGCGCCGCACAGGGCCGGGTTGCAGGCTTGGCAGGCAGCGGGAGCCGGGGCATCTGTGGCAGCCTCTCTGGGGACATTACACCTGGTGGGCTCAGAGAGCGTCCCAAGGGCCGAGCCCCTCCCAGATCCACTGTCCTGGGGACTCAGGGATCCAAGCTGGGGCAGTGTGAGGGCCGCCAGCTCCTGCTGTGGGAGCTGGAGTAGGGCCAGGGGTGCACGCGGGCCAGATCGGCCCCTCCGTCTCGTCTCCTCCCCGCTTCTGTGGCTGAGGAGCCCGTTTTTGAGCCATACCTCACTTGCCCTGTGGTCTGGTGGCAGAGGTGCCCCGGTGGAGAAGGCGGTGCAGGCACAGCTGGGTACAGAGACCCCGGGCCCCATGGTGGTCGGGCACTGCCGAGTGCTGGGCAGAGTGGGTGGCAAGGCTCACGTCGGGTTCTGCAAGGGGCTCGGCAGACGGCTCCTGGGGCAATGACGCTGTCCATGCCACCCATGGGCCCTGTCGCCAGAGGATATGGTGGCCGGGAGCTTTCTCCGCCCGGGGTGGGGCAGACCAGCTGGGAGCAGGGCAGGAGCAGGGGCAGAGGGGCCTGTCCTAGAGGCAGGAGGAGCAGGTCCCCCAGGGAGTTGCAGGCCCTCGAGTCTAGGGCGCCTGCGCTGGCTGTGAGATTCAGGAGTCAGGTTGCTGGGACTCTGCAGGAGGCTGGGGCCACGTGGGGAAGTGGCAGTTGGGGTGTGGCCAGGCCCATGTTGCCACACACAGAGATGCTGGGCAGGGTGGGGGGCAGATAGCTCAGCAACAGCGGTGCCTGCACGGATGGTGCCACCTGAATGCTGGGGCCCGGGCTGTGGGGCTTGCCAGGCAGCGAGGGTTGGGGACGCCCTGTGGCTCCTGTCTGACCCTGTCTCCCCTCTGGTCCGCAGCACAGAGAAGGGAGATGTTATTTGCTACTATGGAAACCGGGGGGAGCGTGAGCCTGTTGCCCTGGCACCAGGTGAGGCTGCTCTGGCGGGTGGCACAGGGTGGGGCTGCTCCTGTGGGGACCCCAGTACTTTCAGGGACCGGGTCCCTGCTGATTTCCCTCCTGGTGCTGTTTTTCGGCCGTTCGTGTACCTTGTGCCCAGTAGTGGCCATGGCCTCACCCGGTCCACATGAGGCTGCACACAGGTTAGGTTGCCTTCCCCCTGTACCGAGTCCCTGGCTGTCTGGAGAGAATTGGAAGCTAAAAGGCACAAAAGGACGCAGAGACCTTCCCCCGCAATTCTGTGACCTTTGTGGAAGCATCTGGAAACCACCCCATGATGCCCTCAACTGTGACTAGAGATGCTTCTTTTCTGCTAAATTGCTGCTTAGAAGGAATTCTTTTGAACTCCATCCTATTTCTTCCCTGAGCCAGCCGCGCCTGATCCATGTCCCTTAAAAAAATAAACAACAGCTCCATTGAGACATAACCGCGTGTCATACAGTTCACTCATTAGAGTGTGCCTTCAGGTGTTTTACTCTATCTACAAAGTGGTGCAACCATCACCAAAATCTAACTCCAGAACATTTTCATCACCTCACCAAGAAACCACACCCACTGGCACTGTCCCCGGCCCCTAGAAACCACTAGTCTCCTTTCTGTCTCTGTGGATTTGCCTATCCTGCACATTTTACATAAACAGATGCAGACAATATGTGGCCTTTTGTGTCTGGTTTCTTTCCCTTTCTGTAATGTTTTCAAGGTTCATCCATGCTGTAGCGTGAGTGAGGGCTCCATTCCTTTTTATGGCTGAATAATATTCCATCGTGTGGATTTTCTGCCTTTTGTTCATCCATCATCCACTGAAGGACACTTGGTTGTATCCACCTTTTGGCTATTGTGGAAAATGCTGCTGTGAACGTTTATTATGTTTTTGTGGGGAAACGTTTTCATTTCTCTTGTGTGTGGACCTAGGAGTGGAGTTGCTGGATCATAAGGTAACCATTTAACCTTTTGAGGAATTGCCAGACTGTTTTCCAAAGCAGCTGTACCATTTTATTTTCCCAGCAGCAACTTATGAGGTTCCAGTCTCTCCCCATCCTCGCCAAGACTTGTCACTGTCTGACTTTTTGATCGCAGCTGTTCTGGGCTATGGTGTGGTCTCACTGTGGCCTTGATTTGCATTTCCCTGATGGTTAATGACGTTGAGCAGCTTTTCATGTGCTTGTTGGTCATTTGTGTATCTTGTTTGGAGAAATGTCTATTCAAGTCCTATGCTTGTTTTTAAATTGGGTTGTCTTTTTGTTATTGAATTGTAAGAATTGTTTTATATATTCTAAATACAAGTCTCTCATCAGTTACATGATTTGCAAATATTTTCTCCCATCCTGTGGGTTTTTCCCCTTTCTCGTTGGTCTCTTTTGAAGTACATCATTTTAAATTTTGATGAAGTCCAGTTTTATGGGGGTTTTTTGTTGTTGCTCATGCTTTTGGTGTCACATCTAGGAAGTCATTTCCTAATCTGAGGTTGTGTAGCTTTCCCCCTATTTGGTTTTAGCTCTCATGTTCAGGTCTTTGAGACGTTTTCAATGGACTCTTGTGTGTGGTGCGCAGTGGGGGTCCTGATCTGTTCTTTGCATGTGGCTGCCAGGTGCCTGATGGATACAGTGTGGTGATGCCGTGGCTGGCGGTGTGACTATGGGCCCCACAGTGCCAAGTGGCAGTAGTCGTGTCAGAGTTGGCCCGGAGTCTGGTAGCAGCAGAGGGTAGTGGCTCTCTGTCCTTGGTGCATCTTTTCAGGCCGCATTGCTCTGGGTTGGCTGCCCCTGCTGCCTCTTTTGAGAAGAGGCTCTGGGGGCCTTTCCACCTTGAGACTGGGACTCTTCTTGAGAACTTGTCCTGAGAAACTTGCTCTAAGCCCCTACAGTGCCCCCAGCCAGGGACCTGGCCTACGCCTCGGGCCGGCCAAAGTCAGCGGGCTCCCTGACCCCGGCTGACCCTGGTGGGCCGCCTCCTGGCCTCAGGCTGTGGTGCTCCCAGCCTTGACCTTCTCAGGTGGACCCCCACGTCGGGCTTCCCCACTTATGGATGGACCTTCCTCTGCTGTTGATTCCGATCACCCACCCCCAAGGCCTGGCGAGTTCCTGGACGCATGTAGAGAAGGGGCGGGTGGGTGGAGTTCCAGCCAGAGTCCCCCCCACCTCCCACGCTGGCCGAGCCAACCCCTCCTGCAGGGACCTACGGGCTAAGCAACGCGCTGCTGGAGACGCCCTGGAGGAAGCTGTGCTTCGGAAAGCGGCTCTTCCTGGAGGCCGTGGAGCGGGGCCAGGCGCTCCCCAAGGACGCCCTGGCCGCCCAGCTTCTGGACGTGCTCAACAATGAAGAGGCGTGAGTGCTGTGCCACACACACACACACACACACACACACACACACACACACACACACG